TCATCTAACTCCCATTTAAATCAATAGGAATTAGGCAGCTAACTCCTTCAGGTGCTTTTGTAAATTTCACTAGGTACCTATGTGTATCTTTAGGCAACTTCAGCCCTTGATCTATATTTGTTATTTTTTCTGGCAGCTATAGTAGGCATTAGTTTGACAGTAATAGGTCTTCTGTTGTCTGAATTTCTGCAGTAAATTTACCTGTGGCTTTTGTTGTTTGCATGTGGGAATTTAGCAGGACAAATTATCCCATTGGGGAATGCTGTTTAATTTCTAAGGAACCACTTTCTTATGGTGATACAAATTTGATTGTAACGACATGGTTACTGTGGCAATAACACAGCAATGATAAAGCTCTTGTGGAAATAACATTATTTTCAATGCACCTGTATGAGTACCCTAAGGACTACACAGTAAAGTAATCTAGAGACTAGTTTAACTAGGCCAAATCTTTGATTCCTTACTTGGTTTTTGCTTAGCACAAATTCAGGAACACAGTATCCCTGAGTAAGGACTGAATAAAAACAGGACAGAATCTGGATTTGGGCCTATCAGTACTGTATGCGAGTCTGATCCCGCAAACACTTGCTGCCCAGTGTAGTTCTTACGGCTATGAATAGTCTCATTGGACCTGATTCTCTTGTCACTAAGGTCCCTTGGCACCACTTTGTCAGTATAAAGGGGTCTTAAAGTGGACATAAATTACATTTACACGTCTTGTAAGGCCACATTATACTGCCAGAGTGGTGCAAAGTGGCTTTATTGTAAATGAGAATCAAGTCTAGTGAGACTATGCACACTTGGCCCATTGACTTCAATGTTTTCAGTGTTTCATTATTAATAGACCCAAGCCACAAAATTTGGGTCTGGATTTCGAACACTCCAGAGTTCATGAGGGCATGCATGGATCCATTATTTTGGTCCATCCGATCATAAAGATAGGAGCCATATGTGACATTTGGCTCTGGATCCAGCTTTGAGGGTTTAGGAGATTCGAAGTAAGGGCATGTGCAGGTCAGTGTGCTTTGTTTAGACCAATCTAGTACTTTATCTGTGGACCTTTGTAGAATGCATTTCCACTAATTGAGACCCTTAGTTTTCTTTGAAACATTGCCCTGATGGTAACTACATTCTATACCCACACATCAGTCAAAGTGTCCAATGCTAAGTCCTCCTGTGCAGAATCGAACTTTTCTTCTATTCACATCTTTAAATTAGCAGACAGTGAAAATGAATGATTGTTCCTTCTCTAGGGAAACATTCTAGGATCTGCTCAACACAACAGTTCTGGATACTAGGCTGCTGCTGATAATAATGCAACCTTAGCTGGGGCCTCTACGGCATATTAAAGCTGAATGTTGCATCATCAGTTCAGCACTGTTTACCGGGGGAGGGAAGGAGAAAGCTCAGTCTCTAATTCCCCCGAGAGTGCAGAATGCTGATGTTTGCGGTCAGCCCAAATCTAATCTCTGAAGGGAACAATAACAAAAAGCCAGCCCCCCAACTCCTACCCCTTGATCCCCCTCCCCCCCGCCCCTGGTTATTTCTGTTTTCCGGTTTGGAATAAATATGAAAACATGACATTTAAAGTGTGTCCTGGATATTATATTTCCCCAACTCCCCTCCTTAGCCTCTTAATGGTGTGCATGTTTGTGTGTGTGTAAGCGTGTATACACATGCACACACATAAAATACAGCACCTGCTTTAGTGGGGATTCCCCTCCCCCTGTTTCACGTGGATTTCTCAGTGGCAGCTCGCCAAGCTGGAGAAGCAGATCAGCAAAACAGGGCACATAAATTGTGAGGAATTTGTCAGCCTGTACAAGTAGTTGGCCAGGCCCCTTCTGTATACATTTTACTATGTTATGTAAATGCAATTGTTCTTTTGTTACTGCTTATGGTAGGATTGTGTGTGCTAGGAACACAGCCCTGTTGCCTCTCAAGTGTATGTTGTTCTGTACTGTACAGTGAAGGTCAATAAAACAACAATGGTAGGAAGAGAGAATGCAGATTACAAGAGTGGAAAATCTCTGCTAGTAATGCTCTGGGATCCAGTTTAACTAGGAGAGCTGGAAACATGAATTTGGGCATGGAATGAGGGGGGGCAATTCAAGGTAAAAGGAATTATCTGATGAACCTATTAGAGGGGATTAAATAAAAAGTGAAAAATAAATGCTTTTCATGGTGTTTCTTTGTCATTATTGCTAAAATATTGAAGTTTAAACAAGGAGGCTTTTAATGGAGGGTTGTCTCACAGCATGTATTGTATTCACTGGAGTTTGGTCTCTCCTTAGCTAATTATATGTATTTATCCATCTTATTGTAAGCGTTCCTAGATCAAAGAAATGCCAGCTTATTTCTTCATAATATAAAGAACAAAAATGGTGGAGAGATACTTGTTAAATGTCGGGGTGGTTCTGATGCTGGCACTCTTGCCTCCTGGCCAGAAGATAAGGCATTCAGGTTTCCCATTGAAGGGGAATAAGAACGGGGAACACAACTCCCCTTTCTACAGTACTTAAAGAGAGATGTGTCTAGTAAATCTAGGGAGAGGCCTGAAGGGAAGAGGAGATCCTCTTGTTAACCATTTGAGCTGGAATTTCCCAAAGACCTAAGGAAGGTAGGCATCCAGTTCCCTTAGGCACTTTCAAAAATTCCAGCCCTAATTTGTTTGCGCCAATTCTCAAGTGCATTAGTTATTCCAATCACACATGTTCCAGTTAACAGACTCTCCCACAAGACTACTGCACAACCATGTCTTCAGACACCTGTCCCCCCTCGTCACTGTCGGTCTCCAGTCCCCCCAGCTCTTGATCTCCAATCTCCCTTAATGCCCGTGAGAAAAGATGAGCTTTGCAGTGTGTCCAGAAGGTACCAAAGAGAGAAACGCTAACCCAGATTCCATAATCTTTCAGAGAGAATGTCCAGCCTACAAACCCTCCGTTATTTCAAGTGTGTCCAGCCTGAGCACCTTCACTGATCTCCTGTCATAGCAGGATGGGCCAGGGAGAGAGGTAGTGCATCGCATAACTGGAACCCAAACCTTTTAGAGCTTTATAGGCTGAAACTAGCAACTGGAACTTCACCTAGAAGCCATTGCGGAGGGTTTATGTTATGTGCTTTCTGCATACAACGCACTATTCAAAAGCAGAGTTCTCCATTCAGGTGAGAGGTGTGTAAACATTCAGCCCAATTTACAGGTGGAGAACTGAAGCACAGGTAGGCTGAGTGAATTCCTCAAGATCAGACAATGAGTCAATTGCAGAACTAAGAACTGAACACTGGGGTCCTGACTTACAGTCACCTGCTCTAGTGGCCCATGCACCTTCCTATTTTATAATCATTTTATTTCAGGTGCTGACCTTTTGTTCTACATGTGCAATCTTTTAATTAGTGTGATGTGGGGGGTAAATATTGTGTCTCTCTATGGCTGTGGGAAGTGGCTTATACAGGAAAAACATCAGTGAGATCAGAGACATGCAAAGGGTTTCACTATAGTCTGCAGTGGAATAAAGTTTGTTTTCCTGAGCTGTATGACTGTCAGAAACGTGGCTTGCTCTGCCTGTCATAGCCAGATTACTGAATCTTTGGAATGGCACAGAAGTCTGGGGCTTTATTTTATTTTATTGTCCCTGACCATCTTGGCTAATAGCTATTTATGGGCCTATCCTCCATGAACGTATCTCATTATTTTTTTAACACAATTATACTTCTGGCCTTCACAACATCCCCTGGCAACAAGTTCCACAGGTTGGCTGTGCATTATGTGAAGAAGAACTTCCTTAAGTTTGTTTTAAACCTGCTGCCTATTAATTTAATTGGGTGACGTCTAGTTCTTGTGTTATGTAAAAGGGTAAACAACACTTCCTTATTTACTTTCTCCACACCATTCAGGATTTCATAGACTTCTCTCATATCCCCCCTCAGTCATCCCTTGTCTAAAATAAACAGTCTCCGACTTTTTAATCTCCCCTACTATGGAAGCTGTTCTATACCCCTAATCATTTTCATTGCCCTTCTCTTTTTCCAATTCTAATATATCTTTTTTGAGATAGGGCAACCAGAACTGCATGCAGTATTCAAGGTGTGGGTGTACCATGGATTTATATAGTGGCATGATGATATTTTCTGTTTTATAATCTATCCTTTCCTAATGGTTCCTAACCTTCTGTTAGCTTTTTTTGTCTGGTGCTGCATGTTGAACAGATATTTTTAGAGAACTATCCACAATGACTTCAAGATCTCTTTTGAGTGGCAACAGCTAATTTAGACCCCATCATTTTGTATGTATAGCTGGGATTATGTTTTACAATGTGCATTACTTTGTATTTATCAACATTGAATTTCATCTGTTATATTGTTACCCAGTCACCCAGTTTTGTGGGATCCCTTTGTAACTCTTTACAGTCAGCTTTGGATTTAACTTTCTTGAGTAATTTTGCATCGTCTGCAAATTTTGTCATCTCACTGTTTACCCCTTTTTCCAGATCGTTTATGAATATGTTCAACAGCACTGGTCCCAGTACAGATCCTTGCTACCGATTTCTCTCCACTGTGAAAACTGACCATATATTCCTGCCCTTTGTTTCCTTTTAACCAGTAATTAATCCATGAGAGGACCTTCCCTCTTATCCCATGACTCCCTACTTTGCTTAACACTCTTTGGTGAGAAACCTTGTCAAAGGCTTTCTGAAAGTCTCAGTACGCTATATCCACTGGATCATCATTGTCCACATGTTTGTTGACCCCCTCAAGTAATTCTAATAGATTGATGAGGCATGATTTTCCTTTACAAAAGCCGTGCTGACTCTTCCCCAACACATCCTGTTCATCTATGTCTCCTAATTCTGTTTACTATAGTTTCAACCAGTTTGCCTGGTACTGAGCTCTTGCCAATGGCTTTTACTTGAGATGCAATGCAGACCTGCTAGGTTATGAAATCTGAAAACAAACAACACGATTAGCTTGTTAAGAGGGATTCTGATATAATTTCTGCCATTTGTTCCAATTAGTTTCCCCATTCTGTAGTCATAATTTGAGCTGTGTCAGGGTTGAGTCTCAGCCAACTAGCCCTCACTCAAGCTTCAGTCTCCATTAGGCAGTGAGTCCTTCCACTGTCCCTCCGTGGTTGGATAAAGGAACATTCTCAAAGATATAAAGCAAAACTTACTTTTTTTCCTTATGGCATGGAATACAGACATTACAAATAAGATTAATGAATGCAGCAGTTTACAAACATTCTGTAGAGTCTAAACACTAAATACATTCTTATAAGACTATTTGAGCAGCACTAACACATAAGTGAACTTGTCTGGTCTCCAGCTATGAGTTTGTCGGTTCTTAGCTAATGCCAGCAGCCTTGGCAAGAGCTGGCACCTAGCCTGCCAGTGTCACAACTGCTGCATGTTCTTTGGATTTGGATGTGAAGCAATACTTCCCCATTCCCTAATGGAACCTCCCTGAACTCTTGTGCAAGGTGGGTGGTGGATTCAAACCCAGATTTCAACCCAATGAATTATTGTGAAGCGCGGGAGAAGATCGGATCCAAGCCTGAAACTGTATCAAAATTGTTTGCTGACTCCTATCTCTGCAATAGGACATCCCGGGTATTGGTTTGAATTCTGGATCTGGATTTTGCAGCCCATCCTTTCTCTTGCCTGAAAAAGAAAATAAATAATGTTTTCGTTACATTTTGAAGGATTGTGGATGAGAGCAGGAAAAGTCTCTTCCATACCCCCAATCCTCATCTCACTACTATGGTTCTGCTCTGAGCCATTCCAAGACGCTGTTACATTGTGTATGAGAGAGTTGAGGACCAAGAGGGGTCAGTCTGGCGGTAGAGGGAGAGAAATGCTTCATCTCTAGCAGCCCATTCATGTTGGCTGTTGCCAAATGTTGCTGCAGTAGCTGCACAGAAAGGAGAAGAAGAAAAGAAGGGAAGAGGGTGGGTGGGTGGGTTGTGGATTGAAGGGGCATGAGCATGCTGCAAATAGAGCTGCAAAAAACAGCGTCAAGGACACACTGAGAGTCTCACTCCTCACACAAGCAAGGGAATGCAGGGAGAAGTGGAGACTCTGCAACCTCATCTCATCCTGCTGAGCTTGTCACAGGAGGATTTAATGCAGCACGCGCAGTATGCATAGGAATTCAGGGACTTCAGATATTTCAGTGTTAGGGGGATTATAGCAATATTAAAACCCCCCACAAAGAATGAAGGGGGAAGATCTCTCTTGGGAGAAGTTGTAAGGGTTAAAACACAGCCCTGCATTGTCCCTTCACAGCTATTTCAAGTTCAGAGTGCAAGGTGGTGTATGTATTTAGGCTTTTTTCCCCCCAAAAACCTATACTTTGTTAGCTATTTGTCTCATTAGGGCAGGGTCCATGTGGTTCTTTGCTGCACCTTTCACACTTTGGACCATAAGGGATAATAAACAGTAATAGTTAATTATAACGACAGTAATTTAATGCAGGACACAAGTAGGGTGCACCACAATTCCAAAATGTGTCTTCACTGTCTTCCCTGATGTTGTTTAAACGGTATTTGTGTGCACAGGACTGATTGCCAAATGCTACCTGCCGAAAGAGCCTTTTAGGGCCAGATCCAACTGCTGTAAATTGGTGTAAGTCCAACAAAATCAGTGGAGCTATGCCAGCGTACTCCAGCTGAGGATCTGGTCCATAATATTTGATTAGATCCTATCACTCTGAAGCGTGAAGTTCAGAATTAGACAAACATAGAACAAGTTACAAAATTTAAATTGTCAACATGACATGTCAAAATATACAAAACAAATATCCTTAAAGCAAACTCTAATAAGTTCTCAAGCAGCATTTTTCTTATTGTGCTTATCTGTGCATTTCTATTATTATTAATGGAAATATTTTTAGTTGGTATGTGTATGTACAGTGAAATTGACATTTACTCATAAAAATCTATTCCTTCCAAGCCTAATTTAAAATGTTTTCTCCCTCTGTAGGTTTGTATACTGTGACAAAGTCCCTCCTCTGCCTTGGTGGGTCCTGCGCTTATTGGCGGATTTGCTCGCCTCTGAGGTTCACGGCAGCCCTCAGTTTGGCCACTTTCGTGGCTCAAATCTGCCGTTCACTCAGTTAGCCTCATCACTGGCCAGCCTGGGGAAAAGGAAGAAGAACAATCCCCGCAGTCTCTGCTGATCCACCTAGTGGATCAGGGAACAGGCCAGAGACCTTCCCCTCTGGTGGAACCCACAGTCCAGTTCAATTCCTCCAGTATCAAGTAGGGAGTTGGGGGGATGGAGGGAACCCGGGCCCACCCTCTATTCCGGGTTCCGCGCAGGGCCCTGTGGATTGCAGCTATCTACAGTGGCTCCTGTAACAGCTGTGTGACAGCTACAACTCCCTGGGCTACTTCCCCATGGCGTCCGCCCAACACCTTCTTTATTCTCACCCCAGGACCTTCCTCCTGATGTCTGATGATGCTTGTACTTTTTAGTCTTCCAGTAGTATGCCTTCTCACTCTCAGCTTCTTGCGCCTCGTGTGCCCAGCTCCTCGCATGCACATCACAAACTGAAGTGAGCTCCTTTTTAAACCCAGGTGCCCTGATTAGCTTGTCTTAATTGATTCTAGCAGCTTCTTGATTGTCTGCAGGTGTTCTAATCAGCCTGTCTGCCTTAATTGTTTCCAGAAAGTTCCTGACTGTTCTGGAACCTTCCTTGTTACCTTACCCAGGGAAAAGGGACCTACTTAACCTGGGGCTAATGTAGCTGCCTTCTATCACTCTCCTGTAGTTGGCCAATGGAGGCTCCTTTGACTGTGGGGCCTATTTCCGATCCTCCGTCCATTCACGTATCCAGGCAGAGTTCCTCTGGGCGGTGTCCACTGACTCCCTTGATGCCTTTGAGGAGCAGTGGACGCTGTCCGGGGTTCTCTGCTCGGTGACCCCGTCCGGTTCCCTCCGTCTGACCCTTTGATTGAGGGTAAGAGCGAGAGACACTAGCCCCAGCTGTTGCCGCTGGGGATACCATCATTCCTGTCATCTAAGAGGGGTCCTATAATACATGGGTGTCTACCCCCCCTCTCCCTAAACCGCCCACCCCGCAGCCGTGCCCATCTTACCGGGCACTCTCAGGAGAGGGAGGGTCGGTGACACTGGGCGCGGCACTGGGTAACTCGAGGGGGTGGAAGACCACGAGTGTCGAGGAAGCCCCCCCGCTCTAGGCCACCAGGTAACTCAGGAGGGTGGAAGACCACGAGTGTCGAGGAAGCCCCCCCGCTCTGGGCCCAGGCTAGCCTGAACACTTCTCCCTCCTGAAAGCTGCTGTGTTATACCTTCTGATTGCGTTGTTTTGTTGCATAGTTGTTTTGTTTCCTCTGGTAATTTTGTAAGCGTTACCAATAAACTTTCTTTCTGTTTCAAAAAAAAAAAAAAAAACCTTCCCTGTTACCTTACCCAGGGAAAAGGGACCTACTTAACCTGGGGCTAATGTAGCTGCCTTCTATCACTCTCCTGTAGTTGGCCAATGGAGGCTCCTTTGACTGTGGGGCCTATTTCCGATCCTCCGTCCATTCATGTATCCGGGCAGAGTTCCTCTGGGCGGTGTCCACTGACTCCCTTGACGCCTTTGAGGAGCAGTGGACGCTGTCCAGGGTTCTCTGCTCAGTGTCCCCGTCTGGTTCCCTTCGTTTGACCTTTTGACCACACTCCTGTCCCTGTTATTTCATTAGTTGTCCCCCATACTCATTTGGTGTCCAGGTCCTGTGGATCCCCCTCTTAGGCTGCAGGGGGGGGGGGATTCTTTAGCACTTCCCGGATCCCAATAGGATCACTCTCCTGTAGCCATCTGGCCCGACCCTGTCACAATACATAGATACATGCATGCACACACATGTACATAAGTAATACATCACAGTTACATGTATTCATACATACACAGAAATACTATTTATATACATATATTGCACATATATTACATCACTGTATATGTATGTATTTCAGTGTACATATACATTATGTATTTGCACACAGTCTGTTGAGAGGAAGAGAGAAAGTGTCTCAGTCTAGTGCAAATTTTTACAGCTACACTATAAAGGATGGCAAATGTAGGAGTTTGAGGAGCAGAGGGAGCATTATTCTCTCAAATGGAAACTGACAGCACCTTAACTGTAGCCGCACTAGCTGGCGTCACTATAACGATCCAGTTCATTGATAGGAAGTGGCAAGCAAAGCAGATGCTTTTAGCAGTGCTGGATTATGAAAGGGGCAGGCTGCTAGAGGCAACAAGCTATTGTCTGAAACATGAAATTTATTACAGGGCACCATACAAAGCCTAAACTAGGCTAGCCAAATAAATAAATAAAGGAACAATTTAGTATGTGTTATATGTATGCAAAGCTAGTCATATCAAGCAATGTAGTATAATAAGGCTGAACTAGTCACTAATGGGCTATATAGCTTGCTGCCTTTTTTTTTTTTTTTTTTTTTTTTTTAAGATGGCACTTTAATGGGTTTTCCTCAAACAGATGCTTGAGTAGTCACACTCTAGTGGCCAGTGATAAGATTAAAAAAAAGAGAGAGAGAGAGAGAGAGAAAATAAATAAATAAATTTTAAAAGCATAAGATTGGCAGAACCCATTTGTCAGAAGGAAAGAGGTTGAGGGCGATGGGCAGGAGGAAGAGAGTGTCAGGCAGTGGGAAAATTTAATAAATTCCTTGTCTGAAGACCGCTGCACACAGAGTTGCTCAAGGCCATTGAAACCTGATGAACCTGTGATAGGCTGGTTGCAGTTTTGCTGGCACGCGTTACTGCTTTGATATCTCACACAAAGGTTGGTTGTGAGTGAGTGAGTGAGAGGCATTGCTGTATGCTTGTCTTTATAGATTTAAAAATCCATGATGAGAGCACCTAAGTATTTAAGTGTGTAAATGTCATCAGTTACTGTTTAACTGAGTGAAATGTGTTGAAAGCAGCAACAGTACAATATAGCACTGAACGCATGAGAGCTCAAAGAACCCTCCTCCCACATCTAAGAAAAAGTGCGTTTAAAAAAAAGTGTAATCCAAGTACACTGGGAGCGGGAGGAGGACTGAGGGCGTTGTTTCTCTGCAGGGAGGGCAAGAGTGTTTTTTTATTTTGTTTTTCTTATAATCAAGCAACTCATTGCAAACCAGGGTCCCCATCCGGCAAACACTTGTGCACGTGGTTAACCTTTCTCACATGAGCAGACTCACTGAATTCAATGAGGCTACTTGTGCTGACAGAATGGATCCCTGTACCAGCATGGAGCCCATGGGTCTACCTATGTGGTTCTGATTACAGGAGTGGGGCCCAGCATGGTCATTTTTAAATTTAATGGAGAGGCATCATGATCTAATGCAGAGCACCCTGGGTTGGGGCTCAGGAGACCTAAATTATTTTCCTGGCTCTGCCACTGATCAGCTGTGTGCCCTCAGAAAAGCCCCTTCAGCTCTCTGTCTCCCCTCCCACCCTTTGTCTTGTATTTAGACTGTAAGCTCTTCAGGGTAAGAACTGTCTCTTGGTATGTGTTTGTACAGCACCTAGCACAATGAGGTCCTGAAAGTGTTTCTCAGGGGATGATTTTACCCCCAGGCATACAATAGATTTAAATCAGTTCTTATTGTGACGTTGGGAGAACACGCACACAATGGTGTCAAGTAGG